ACGTAATCAATAAATCAATAATAGTTTGTTGAATTGAAATCTAGTATATTTCAGATTGCAACAGAAAATAAAGGGCAAACCATATTACGGTCCAACATGCATCCTCATTAAGCAATGGTTGCATATCGTATTATCCTAGAGGCTCAAGTCTTATCTACGTCCCATAAAAACCACCACCTCTCCAACCTACACAGCATCTAAAGCACAATAAACCATAAACCTATGTGTCTACCCCCAAACTCTTCGGTACTAGTTGGCATTTTTTTAAATTAAAATTAATTGTATTATTTGGGGGTTTGCAGGTAAAATACAGTAATACCTTGATTTGCGGGCATAAGTCATTCTGGAAACTGCTCGTATTGCAAGACATCGCTGGTTTACCACGTTAAAATGTATTAGAAATGTTTGGTCGTCTTGTGGAACACTCGCAAACCACGTTGCTCGCAATCCAAGGTTTTGTTGTCACTTTTATATTCTAAGACATTAAGCTCCTTCATCCTTAAACCTAGATACATAATTAAGCTCCAAAATCATGTACTCATTCGTTTCCATGATCATATACTGACCTGTCACCTTATGCCCCAGCGAGGGGCAGGGTGGGGATTCAACCCAAGCAGCAGCTACACACAGCACTTCAAGTGTCAAGACAATATTGAGTCTGCATGCACAGGATGCCAGCTTCTTTCTAACCCAGACAGCTCTCCAGGGGTGGCACACGGCAAATGAAAACTTTCTGTGAAAAGAAGGTAACTTGACTGTGGTGGAAAGGGGCAGGAAGGAAGGCACACGGGGAGATAATTGTATTTCACAAGACATCTTCACTGCCAGAGCTCGACTGGCAGGGGCAACCATACCATCATCGAGAACAGCACCTGGGATACTCGGGAAGCGCCTTCCTTCCGGGATGACAGATTCACCTGTTAGCACTGGTGCAGGCCCAGTGTCCCGCTGCCCCGCCCCGACGGCGCTGGTCCCAGAGCATTCCCACCCTGGCACCCGGAACCTCACGCCCACTCACTCTGCGCGAAGGGTCGAGCAGGGAAGGGCGAAGGCGCGGTAGTGCTGCCTCTCTCGGGAGAACCCAGTGGCCTCTGCTCTGCCTGCGGGGTCTGACCTGTGTCGTTCCAAGTGCAGCCGAGCCTGTCCGCAGACTCTGCGAAGGAAACCGAAAGTACCAGCCTGGAGAAAAGGCAGCTCCAGCCGCCCCGCCTCCTTCGCCTCCACCAATCACCGGGCCTTCCGCACTCGGCCAATGGGACGCGGCTGTTCTGCGGTCGCGCCGCCTCCCCCCGGGAGCTGCTGCTTAGCCAATGCTCTGGGTCCTTTGTTATTTTAGCCTTTGCGCAGGGTCCCCGTGTGAATGACGTGCAGTTCAAGCTCTGTGTTGCAACTTAGCTGACTGGCGGTTATGTTTACACATTCTAGAGAGCAATTAAAAGGAAGTTCTTTGTTTGTAAAGGCCCAAACTTGGAGATCCCTGCATTAGCCCCCTATCTGAGAACCCGAGTCAGAGGACACAGGTAGGGGCATTGGCCTTCTAGAAGATCAGCTTAGCAGCTGACCTCCGTGTAGCTAAACCCTGGGGACGTTTTTCTGTTCTCACCTACTTGAACGCTCAGAAACCTTCCGCACAGTTGATGTCTCAGTTTTTTTTTAACACTTCTTTCTTGACAATGATGACGACACACACGGCTTCTTTGCTTCTTCCTACCTGTCTGGCATTCTTTCTCCACCTCCGTTTCACCTGTACTACCAAATCGGTCAGTGTTAATTGTCAGGGTCCCCATCTTGGTCTGCTTTACCTACATTTCTCCTTACGGTGTCCTGGGATGACCTCACCGACAGCTTCCCAATTTTCTTCTAGAGGTGAAGGGCTTCTGTATGTGTATCCTGTCCATGCCTCCTTCTAAGATCCACACCCATGTGTACAGCCCCCATTTGACTCCCTACTTGGACGTCCTGCAAGTTCTGCACACTAATTATGTTCAGACCCAACTATCTACTCCTCAAACCTGCCCTCTTTCTAGAAATGGTACATGTGGGATAGCTAGGAGTTATTTTTGACATTGCCTTCTTCCTCACCCTGCACACCTCTTCCTTAAGCCTTGTTTGATTCTTCCTTCCAAATATTTCTCAAGTCTCATCACTTCTCTTATGCCATCTCCCCTTTTCTCTCATTTAGATTACTGCTGTCGATTCCCAAATGGCTGCTACACCTCAGCTCTTAACTTTCTTTTAATCCATTCTCCCTATAGCAGTTTGAGTGATTTTTTTTTAATTGCAAAGCAAATTATGTGTTTGTCAATCTGAAAACCCTCTAGTGGCTTTTCTTATAAAATTCAAATTTCTTAATAGACCCTACAAAGTAAAGCACTAGTTTCCCTATCATTTTCTCTAACCCCATTTTGTGCCACTTTCCTTATTTCAGCATTTTGTTCTTCAAATAAGCCAAGTTCTTTCCCCAAACTCAGGGCCTTCTCACCAGCAGTTCTCCATTTGGAAAACCCCTTAAGCCAATGTCTCCCTCCCCCAACTTTTTTGATGGCTAACTTATCTTTTATGTCTCAGCTAAAATCTCAGCTTAAATGTCACTTCCCCAGGTAGGCATCGCTGAGGCCAGCGTAGATAAGATCCTCTTGGAATATATGCCCATAAAATCAATTAGTTCCTTCAAGTAGATGGAACTTGAATGAAACCTTGAATAATATGGCAACTTTGGGTAGGAAAAGGATCTAAATAATTTCCCAGAGATATGCTTATATATGTATCTACTATAGTTTTTTCTCTGCCACTTCTATATACTCCTTCCTGTCACGTATTCAACCTCACAAAACTAGTACTGAACTGGTGATAGCAATGACCCTTGGTACCAAAGTGGCAGCCTTCTGTGAAAAGAGATGCTAAGCCACCAAAAAGAGCCCTTCCCCTCCTACTCATCTGCACTAAGGGCCCAGACAATGTTTGAGAAAAGCTGACTCCAGGAAGGGTAGATAATATGTTTAAAATACCTTTTTTCTGGTACTGTAAAACCTGCACATAGAGGAGCTTTAATGTTTATGGGGGAATTAACTAATCTTGTGTAAACAGGATGTTTCTCTTTGGCTCTCCACATTCTGATTGTTATCAAGTTCGAGGATGCTTCCTTCCCTATGCCTTCATTTTCCTTACAGTCATTGACAATATCCTATCGCAGGCCTTCATCACATCAGAACTGGAATGCTACAATAGACACCAGAATTCTTGCCCCTTCCTGTTCCATTATTTTTTTCCAAATTAAATGGTCTAAAACACCGTATTTACATAGTCATTTCGCACTGAAAAGCCTTGCCAACTCCCATTGCATTTATGATAAACACAAACTGGTCTGGAGCCTCCACAGAATGTCCCTACCTTTCTTTCCAGCCTTGTCTCCCATTGTCCCATTACTCAACTCTGTCCCCTGCTCTCTCCTCATGCTTTTAATTTTACCGTTTCTGCTCCTTTGCACATACTACAGGCAAGTATTGCACATACTGAATGACTAGTCCTGCCCATTACTCCCTTCACTTATTTAATCCTTACCCAGTTTTTAAAACTGAACCCAAATTGTATGTTCTTCTTCTGGAATCACATGCACCTGTGGTGATCACTCTGGTCTCTGAAATAATATGATATATTAATTGTCTCTATTTACACTGACAATCATTACACCCTCTCTTATATTATGGTTTTTGAAGTGCCCAAGTCGTATCCATCCAAGATTCTAAGTTCCTGGAGGGCAAACTATATGTATTTTATAAGTGTGACTGTTTAATATATTGACAGCTTAAAAAACAACCAAATCAAAAAACAAATCAAACAAAAAACTGGAGATACAAATATGACAGGCCCAAATGTGTGACGGCCTCCTTAGAACAGTCAGCTTGGGAAGCTGTATCTCTATTCCAACAATGTTAACTTTGCAAAAGGCACACATCTAGAAAAACAAAAATAGCTAATACCATGTCTGATAGATTGTATTATTTTTCAATTTTTGTCTTTCCCTTCCCACTCTCTGTCATGGAGTTCTGTGGATGCTTCCTTCCCTATGCCTTTATTCTCCTTAGTTTTACCATCATTGACAATACCTTCTTGCAGGCCTTCATCACTTCAGAACTGGAATGCTACAATAGACACCAGACTTCACTAAGAGTGGAGTACACCTTCCTGTGCGTCAACTCTGGCCTTGCTGTGGGACTTGCTCTGACTAATGGGATCTGAGCAGATGTGAGGGAACTCAACTGACCTAAGACTTTGCATGTTCTGTGTGACTGACTTGTTTTTGTGTGCTTCCTCCTGGCATGGCAGGTTCAAGCATCTGCTGCTCCTCCAGCCAAGGTCCTGGAAGGAAAGATGTGTGGAACTACCTGGAGCAGAACTGCTGCAGCCCAGCTACATACCCATAAGTGAGACAGTGGGATGTGTTTGTTGTCCTTTTGTAAGTCACTGAGGTATTTTGTGTGTGTGTGTGTGTGTTTTGCCATTGAAATAGCTGACTACTTCATAGATGACAGAATCAAAATTTGAAATTATCTGGACAGGATAGAATGCTGCTAGGCTGAAACCAACTGGATAAAACTTCAAAGAGTAAATGCTAAGATCTGTATTTGGGTTTGTAAAAAAGCAACAAATGACAGGGTACCCTTTGCAGCCAGTGCCCAGCTTCTGAATAGTTCTCAACACTATATCTGATCACTAGCAATCAATCAGAAAAGGCAGGTAAGATGAAGCTTGCTATTTGCCATCTCTCAACTGGTGTATATTCAAAGGAGAATCAAGGATGGTGAGGAGCCTAGAAACCACATTTTATGATGAGTAATTAAGGCCCTGGAGTAACTCATAAATTCACATCACATTATAGTGGAAAGGCTCTTACAAACTATGCCAGACCTCCCATTTGGAGCAAATTTAGTTTTGCTTGGAGAAAAAGAGACAGTGTCTTTCCTAATCTTCACTGATCCCTGCTTTAATTCCCAACCACACAGTTGTATTTATTTGATTATATTTACAATAACTAGAAACATAAAGAATACAATGCAGCCTACAAAGCCAAAGTAAAAAGATATATATTATCAGTTACACATTCTCATTGTAAAAAATTAGGAAGGATCTCCTGGTAGATTGTTTTCAATGATGGCTCCATTATTCCTTTTTCTGTAGCCACACTCCTTTGCAATATGACTCTGCAGCTCCTTCCAGCAAGAAGTAGGGACTATTTCTCCACTGGGCTAGCTTGTAAATTGCTTTGACCAATATTATGCAGCAAAAGTGACATTGTGTCATTCTGAGCCTAGGCCTTAAGGGGCCTTACATATACCACCCCCAGCACCCTGTCCTGCCTCCATGGCAAGACAGACTAGCCTGCTGCAGGGTGAGGGTGTACAGGCCCCAGCTGAGTCCTGTAACTGTCAGGGCTCAAGCCTCAGACATGGGAGGGTGCCTAGGCAAGATCAGATGGCCTGACCCGGATGACCAGAACTGTCCAGCCTACCCTAGACGCATAAGCAATGACAAATGGTTGTTGTTTTACCCCCACTGAGTTTTGGGGTTAGTTTGGTTTGTTATGTAGCAATAAATCACTGATACAGATTTGATGGGGATAAGCAAAACATCCTACTACTGAATTATAAACAAAATTTCTCAAATGATGCAGGCCCACTGCCCTTCCCCCACCACGAATATTTTCTGTGGGGTCTGCCGTCCCCCAGTGGCACCCTATCCCATGTGTTCTTACCACACACCCATGAAAAACTTACTAGCTCTGTGCTCTATCTTTATGGCCTTGGTCTGTTTCAAAATGGCAGCTACAAGTCTGATGAAAAAAACCTATAGTAATATGTTAAAGACATTCCCTGTCCTTCCAGCAACTATATTGCATTTCAGACATAGCTTTTTCTAATGTTGGTTGGTAACCTAAATATCTAACAGTACAAATTACACTTAATCAGTGTAGGTGAGCCATATTTGTTAATCTGTAATATAATGGAATTGCAATTAAGGATTTGTAAAATTTCCTGCAGTTCTTTGGATTTTTGATAGTCATATGATACAATATTAAAGTTATGCTTTCAGAGACTATTTAGTTACATTGGAAAATACCCACGTATAAAATTAAATTAAAATGCAGGATAGAACACATAGTACTATCCTAGTACTCTAAGAATATATATAAATGGAAACACACTGAAACAGAGAGAAACAAAAAAAGGAAGAGGAGAGAAAATATTTTAAATGTTTCTGGGTGGTGGATTACATCTTTATAATTTTTTTTTTCCAAAAATGTCTATAATGAGCACTATTACATTTGTAGCCCAAACAGCCTCACGAACACCTTTTGGAGTCCTGCAGCTCACGTCTGCCCTGAACCGGGTACAGTAGGGCAAGTGCTCATAGGCTCTTGGGAAAGTTTCCAAAACAGCGGGCCAGGCGCGCGGTGGGAGGGACGCGACTGCTCAGAAGAGCCGCCCCACGTGCTTTCGGGGAAATAGCCGGGGAGCAAGAAGGAGCGGGATTGAGAGGAAACCGAAAAGCGAAAGTCAGAGACGAGAGGAGCAGCACGCAGGCGCGGGCCCGGGGCTTTCCAGCCGAATGTCCGCCAGCCTGCGGTTCCTTAGCCCTCCCCATCCCCCCCCCGTCCCCCGCCCCTTTGCCGGGCGGAGTCTGAGAGTAGTGGACCCTGCACAGATGAAAGGCGGAGGAGGGGGTGCCCGTTAACTTTGGAGATTAGGAAGGGAACATTTTCTAATTGCTTAACTCGCTGGAAATTTCACCCATCCCACTCACACTCCCAATGTTTTCTTTCTTCCCTTGGCCCAGAATCATACCTTTTCCCTCCCTCACTTTTCTAGCTACACAATCTGCACGTGTGCTAACTCAGATCTTATTGGCCTTTCAAGCTCTGACCCTCACCCAGCTGGGATGCTTGACCTTAAACCAGACATGTACATGGGGCTGACTATTTCTTCATCTGCCCTTTTGCTAGATCTGCAAAGGTGGCTTTTCCTTCTCCTGGAGTCTTCTCGCCCCCTGTCGTTTCTTTTATGGTGATTATACCAGAAGGGGTGGGGGAGAAGTATAATGGAGGAGAATAGTGTAGTCACTGGACATCATTTCAAAAGTTTGACAGGCTGAGGAACAATCATTTTGGTCATGCCTGCTACCTGGATGACTTATTGAATGGTTTCAGGAGGCACTGACCTAGTTTCTTTGGGTTCCACTCAACCACTCTGAAAGGACTCTACCTACTTAGGGTGACTTCCAGACCAACCTAGGACCTCCAGTGTGTGAAGGGACTTACCTTACTGGACCACAGCCTCCTGCCTGGCATGAGAGTGAGCACCGGTCCCCATGGCTGCACACAAACACACCCGCAAGTACACTTCACATAATTCCCACAGTGCAAATAGATCTTTATTTTCCCCTGTTAGAAGGAGAGGACAGGACTGGCTATGTAATTTCCAGTGCAAAATGAAAATATGGGGCCCCTTTTTCAAAGTTTATTAAAAATTTCAAGAAGGCAACAGCAGAGCATTAAATCAAGAAGGATGGAGCTTTTCTGAGTGCCCGGCCCTGTGCAACTGCACAAGTAGCACACCGTTGAAGTCCCTAGTGTGGCTATTTGGGGAGGGAGTTTCTCCTGTAGAAACCTTGTTACAGGTTTACTTAAAACAAATGAAAACTTAGACATAATGAAGAAACAAATTCTGACACTATCGATCCTGTAGCACTTTGAACAACATCCAGAGCCTTCAGCTTTCCCTGTAGAGCTCTACGTGATCTGGT